GTATATTAAGGTCTAATTATAAACGGTGCAGCTAATTTTTCTTTGAAATAGATGGTGTGTTTTATGTTTGTTAAATAGTAAGAATATATGGTGAAATTAGATGATGGAATTTTTCTAAAGCCTACGTCCCTTATTCACACTCTGTGCGTAGGGATTGGTTTTGTCGTTTTGTGAAACAGCTCCACCGGTGGGCTTTTTGTCACGCATGAGTATACTGTAATTGAAAATTGGGTGTTCTATGCGCTGACTGTGTCTTGTGACTCCTGCTGCAGCTTTCTTCTTGTTGAGTTTGATTATGTGCTAGGGCGCTTTTAGTCCGTGGTGCGTCCAAAAGACTTGAACCTAGCTAGCCTCTATGTATTTCCTGCTTTCTCCTCCTTGTAAATCAATTCATACCTTTTCCTTGTTGACCAATTCAGATATGCCTACTACTGGTTAATATCGCTTTTTGGGCTTTGTAAATCAAAAAAGTATCATATTCGAAATATTTCCTTCATCTTTAGTTTAACACTTTGTATGTTGTAGTTTAGCTGATAGCCTTTAGAACTTGGGATATCAAGTCTAATACATCTATATATATATATCAATATATATATACATTTTTTTTTATTAGTGTCGCTACTTATGGCTGACACCGCTTTTACTACGATACTGGGTCCTCCTGGCAGTGAGGGCGACTTCAAATACAAGAAGAGAAAGTTGATTGGTACCGGATCCTTTGGTGAAGCCTGGCTAGTTGAGCGATCTTCAGATGGGAAAATCTTTGTAGCTAAGACAGTAGATCTTAGCAGAATGTCATCTCGGGATTGTAATTATGCGTACAGTGAAATCAAGTGCTTGGCGAACAATGACCATCCCAACATCATCAAATATATTGAAGATCATAAAGAAAATGATCAGCTTCTTATCATCATGGAATTTGCAGACTCAGGCGACTTGGACCGAGAAATAAAGAGAAGAACCCTTGACCTTAAGTACTTCCAAGAGCATGAGGCTCTCTTTCTTTTTATCCAACTATGTTTAAGCATCGATCACATCCACAGTCGCAAAATGCTTCATCGCGACATCAAGTCCGCAAACGTGCTTTTGACATCAACAGGGCTTATCAAGCTGGGTGATTTTGGTTTTAGCCACCAGTACGATGATACGGTTTCTGGTGTTGTGGCGAATACCTTTTGTGGGACACCCTATTGTCTTGCACCTGAACTTTGGAGCAACCAAAGGTACAGTAAGAAGGCAGATATATGGTCTATGGGTGTCGTCTTGTATGAGATAATGGCTTTGAAAAGGCCGTTTAATTCCACTAACATGAAGGGCCTTATGGCGAAGATACTTAATGTAGACTATGATCCCCTTCCAGATAATTTTTCTCAGGAGTTCAGAGATGTAGTGCGTCGAATTCTTGTGAGTGATGCTAGTGAGCGCCCTACTGTCCGCGATATCTTTACGTTTCCTTACATTCGTGAAGGCCTCAAGGTCTTTATGCACACCGTCAAGAGGAACTCGCGCATTGCGGATCTTGTGAAGGAGGCCTTGATTGCGCACGTAAGGGAAATTCTTTCATCCCAAAGCCTAGAGGAGGGAGCAGGTTCTAAAGGCGCTGAGGATACCCATATTAACATGGACATCACGTTTACAGGCTACGTTAGGAAAATTAAAGGTGGTGACCCATATCATTCCTGGAAAAGACGCTACCTGCAGATTCAAAAACGATGCCTCATCTTGTCTGACTCGGAGGCGGACACGGAAGGGAAGGCACTAGGCTTGGAACAGATACAAAGTCTGTGTCCTGTTCCACCTAGCATTTGCAGGAGGAATTTTGTGTTTGCCCTTAACACTACCGGAGGAAAGTCGATGTGGTTTGAGGCTACTTCTCAGCAAAATATGGAAGACTGGGTTAATACGCTGAAAAGGTGCCTTAGTGCTGCATAAAAAAATATATATAATAATGGCTTAGGAACCTTCTAATACCAACATGTTTTATATTTCTTTTTCTTTTCATTCATCCCCGGATGTCGTGCTGTGCTCACAATATAAGTTTCGGGGCCTATTTTAATTCCAAATACAGTGGCTAGTTTGTGCGAGTGTCTTTGTGCCCATGCCATTTCCTGAAGACCTTCTTTGCTTCTTTTTCCTTTCTTGACCCATTTTCTACATTTTTATTATTTATTTTTGATGCGGTTATTGCAACTTTTTATTTGCTGAAAAAGAGTGGTATGACATATTTAGGATGATCCTTGGCTCTTCTTCGGCAAACTTTGCACTCGATTCGGAGAGACACATCTATACGCTATGTGGCAACAGTCTTGTGATAACTTCAGTGGATGGAACTTCATCCGAGTGGCAACCTGATCAAGGACTATATGAGATCACAAGCATAGCTATTGCGCCAAATTCCGGTGTCATCTGCCTATCCAAGAAGTCTATTTCTGTTACTCTTCTTTTTTTCAGGGTATCGAAGCTTCGAAAAATTGGTGAGATCCCCTCCATTGCTGAGGTCGAGGTGCAGCAACTTGTCTATTCACAAGACGAAACAGTCTTGCTTGTGCTCTGCAATTATCCGTCTAGCGCAGTCAAGATATTGAATTCTTCCGGTACGAACGGTATGTTTTCTATTTCGAAAACGATTAATTTGCCGGACACATTTTTTAGTGGATTGCTATTCGTCAAGTTGCGTAATGCGGGTTGTGATGTGATTGTCTGGGGCGAACACAGTATTCTCGCCTATACACTTAAAGAAAGTGAAACGGACTATACTCAATGTGCTTCACATGAGTGCATTGATGACACGATTACATGTGGATGTGTTGTTCCGGAAGGTGAACTCTTTGGGTTTGCATCCGGGAAGGTCTGTTTCTTTAATCAAATCGGGGAAACACTGTCTGCTGTGGTCTTCTGCCGTTCCTCAGTGTCATACTTGGCTGTTGACAACTCTTCAAATAGCATTTTCTTGTGCCAAGTCGACGGGCTTCTCCTTCGACTTTCTGGCTCTGCGCCTAATTATCAGATAAGCCCTTGTTGCCAATTACCTTCCATTGGCCAACACATGTCAATCTTTTTACTAGCGCAGAGCACTAGCTCCGTTTCTGAGCTTGTTGTCTCGACCGGCCTTGGGGTTTACAGATGCATTGAAGAGGAAAATAACTGGATTATATTTCCAATACGAGAGAAGTGGTGGAAGACCATCAAAAAGTGTCATGCATTAAAAGATGGCGAGGGTATCGTTTGCGTTTCTGGGGACGGCACGATTTCCACATTTTTTATCGACAGAAATGAGGTATGCGAGTGGAATGAGCCCGCACAGAAAGATGGAAAAGGTGAAATTGTCGACTCCTGTATTTCTCTGACGGGGAAGCTTGTGCTTGTTTCACGGGAAGGCATTTTTTACAAGGATCCATTGAATGGGAATAATTTGGACCATGCGCCCATATTATCCACCGAGGAAGCCTACCTGCGGTGCGCTGTGAATGATTCCGGCACGTTAGTCTATTTTACTCCAGAAATTGTATATTTTTTCGACTGCACAGAAACAAGTCTATGCCCCTGCGGTTCTCTCAATCTAAATTCTTTTAACTTTCCACTTGCGGCTAAGTTTATCTGTGGACTTCCAGGAGAGAACGCTTTTCTAGTTGCGTGTTCTAATGGAGAGATTTTTCTGATCAGCGTCTCCCCTTCCCCCACTTTGTCTGTGGACGCAGAGGATCCCTTCGAGGGACGACTGAAGGGGTCTTGGAGGCTTGACTTTCCTGTGGAAGCTATGCATCCCTGCCATGTGTCAGATGAAGCGATCAACATTCTGGTGCATTCTATCGATAAGGACACCAAGGTATACGCATTGTATCGGCGCAACGAGGAGAAGGACACTGTCAAGGTGCTCCGACCAATTTACCTAATGCGGGACCATTCATCTGGAGGCCGGTGCCTATGCCCTGTCGGATCCACTGTAGTTTGCTCTGGCGGAAAGGATGGGTGCCTTGTGTGGCGTGACATCGGGGCATATCAAAAACGACTGCCCGCGATGCCTCCTTCAAAAGAAAAGCGCAAGCCTCTGAGAGAATTAACGGTATGGCACTTTGTAGGGGGCGGCGTCATCTCCATTTGCGTCGTGGGCGACATGATAGCATGTGTCGGAAGCCAGGCGAGCTTCCTTAAAATAATACCGGGAGCGATGCCAATCACGTTTTCGGTGACTAACACATGGAAGGAGCCTCAATGGATTTCTCGGAGAACGGGTTGGGATGAATACGGAGTTTGCTCACCGGACGCCTCGATGGTAACACAAAAAGATGTGGAAATGAAATCCCAAACCGAGGAAGAGGGGATAAAGAAAACCATCCAAGACGAGTTGAACGAAATTCAGCAGGAATGGTGTGATGTTGTACAGCCAGAATGGTTTGACAGGGTATCTGCTGAGAGTCTTCTTCCTCCATCCCTGCGGGAGCAATTTGAAGCTGCGTGCGTCGATGCTGTGTATAAGTCAAGAGAGACAGAGTATTATCAACTTCTAGAGAATGAGTATACACAGGATGTCATTAGAGCACGGTGCTGTGAACCCATGGAGGTGGTTCGATCAAAAATTGTTAGCATTTACGGAGGTCTTGAGGTTCACAACTTTCACATCGCAAAGATTGTTCGCCCCCACAAAAAGTTAGCGGAGAAGTGTGTGTTTCTGCGCAGTCTTCAACGAAAGGCTTCGCAAGCATCACGAACCGTGAATATTTGTGAAAATGCCTCCCTGAAAGCACAGTTGGATCGAAATGTGCTTTTGATTTCTCAAAAGGGGTTTGTTTCTGCGTTATACTCACCCTTTGAGGCTTTCACGGAGGGGAGGGCTGTGTTACAGACCATTCTATTAAAAGGTGTGATGCTGAGTCTCAAAGATAGTTTCAACCAGCGCTATGACGAGATCCGACAAGTAAAGAAAAGCATTCTCTCCGCTATCGAAGATAAAACGCGTCAATGCTTACAAATTGTAAAGCAGCTTGGGGAGGAGCCCTGTCATGATGAGCTTTTTTCACCGTATATAGATTATGAAGAGGATCCGGGCACGGTTTTCACCGTTCGCGACGAGGAGCTCGACGAAAAGGTTCGCCGTCTGTTACCCCCAAAGCAGGAGTCGTGTATTGTTTCGCCGTCGAACGAGGCCGCTTTGAAGCTATGGATGGACGGTCTTGAGAAGGATGTGGAGCATTTGCAGGTAAACGTACCGCTTCCAAGCTTTGCCGATGAGTCCTGCAATGCCTTTGTTCCAAAGGACGAACGTACGGAGGAGCAGTTGCAGCTGATGGAGCAGTACGAAACGCAGCTCCGAGAGGAGACCGAGGCGGTTAACGCACGCAAAGATGAGCTACGAAACGAATTCAAGCGCCTGCAAACCGAATGCCGTACGTTGGCGACAGACTTTGACATGAAGTTAAGCGAGCTCCGCTCGCTTCGTGCTGCGACGGCAAAGACACTCCATGAAATAGAACTAGAACTTGTGCTGTTACTTCAGCATCGATTGAAGTTCTTCGACACTTTGAAGAAGTTCGACGCATTACAGGAGAAAATTACCTCGCTTTTTCAACAGATGGAAAAACTAACTCTCTCAATTGAAGCGAAACAAAGGGTTGTTGCATCTATGCGTTCATCCATCTATGATATGGAGGAAAGGCAGAAAACATTCCTTTCTGATGTGCGTAATTGTGAGCCTTTTGTAGATGAACTCCATGGTGAAAGACTTTATCGCCGATTCGTGCGCTGGAAGCGCCTCTTTGACGCGGGAAAGAGTGATTTGCCTCTTGACAATCGGCCTCCAGATGGCATTCCGCTTGAGTTGTGGACTGCATTTTGTGACTGCTCAAGGGAGGTCTTGCAGCTCCGTGTACAGATACAAGAAAGTCAGGTTCCATACCAACAAGAAGTGGAATCGTTGAACGCCTTGCAAAAAGAACTAGAAACCCTCGATAGCTCTTCACATGCCCTCGAAGCTGAGAGAGATCATCTACCCTTGGATCTTTTAGATATCTTTTTAAATACTAGATGCCTTTATCACCTCCACCAAGGCCAGATTCAGGACGAGAAGGCGGCGCTGACATCGGACTTCAACACCTCACATCTCCGCTGGGTCTCTGATGTGGATCAGTACAACCAGGCTATATTCGCCAGTGCTGAGAAGAGCGATCAGCTCTTGAGCAAGATTGTGAAAAAGAAGCAGCTTAATAAGCAGCGAAGGTTTGAAGCAACAAGACTTGACTACTGCACTGGGACATTTAAGCTGGAGCTTCAGCAACTTCACACCCTGCGTGTGACGCGCTTGATGCAGGAATGGCTATGCGGCGATGCGGATGTCTCAGAGGAAAAAGCGATAGCCAAAATCAGCGAACATATCCAATTAGTGAACCTCAGCATGGCACGGAAGATGGACCAACTAAATTTAACCGCCAAGCTACTCAAACGGCAAATTGCTGAACGCGTCACAGAAAACAGCTTTGTCGATACTGAAAGAGAAAAAATACGTTGCACAGTTCAGGACGCTAACACAGTGAAGATCATGACCGATGCCCATAGAAACGTCTCTAGCCAAATTGCCACCAGAGCGAAAGAGATTTTTCAAACAAGCGAAATGGAGGAAGTGGCTCGTTCGCAGCAGGAGGAGCTTGTACGACTTAAAAATGAGGTTGATCGGCTTCGTGCGAAAACGTTTCCTTCCTTCGCAACAGTCTGCAAACGAATATAAATACTACTACTCTAAAGGGCTCCCATGTAAATAATGTAATAGAAACTTTGTCCCACTCATTATTTATCAATCGTATTGTAAAAATTGTATAAATTTAGTATTGCAGACACTTTTTTCTTCTCCTTTGTGTCTACCCATATCGTTCCCTAATCCCATGTCCATCTAAGCCGTGGTGTTCTTTGCGCTTTCCCTTTATTGTTGGTCTCAATTGAATAGTTTAAAGACTAAAATCCTTCTTCTCCCTTGTTTCTCCTAATGGGCCGAAAAATGGCTAGCTTTTCCCCTGAACCAAACACTATTACAAAGGGAATATTGGTTCGTTAATTTACTTATACAGTTGGATTTTTATGAGGCTAGGAGAATTACGCAATGGAAGGCCAATGCTCATCAGAAGCGGAACTCCGAGCGCACATCGAAAATACTGAGAATACCCTGAAGCGAATCGCATCTTATAAAGGGGTCGTTGGTTATTTTTTCATTCATCCCGATAGCGGACGAATTCTTAAAAGCGATGGTTTTGGTAACGATGAGGGCACTGTTAGGCGGTATAGCACCAAGTTGAGAGGGTTTATTGATCTCGCAACTTCTACTGTCAGAACGCTTGACTCTAGCGACGCCATGACGTTTCTACGGATCAGTTGTGGTGATCTTGATATTCTGGCGGCCCCCGGCCCTGAAAAGAAGTACACACTTATTGTTGTACAGCAGGTAGTGACCTAGCTCTCGATGTTTCTCGACAACTGTGCGCTTATCGATGTAACATATCAAACTGTATGAGCGGGGAGTAGGAGGGTGTATAAAAATGAATGGCCAAGTTTTTATCCTATAAGACGCACGCTAACTGATGCGGTGCTACTATACTCTCCTCTTCATCATTTTTTTCTAATTCGTTTTTTGTTTTTTTAGAAGTAAACACATGTACGCCATCAAACCATGGGGAAATGTGTTTGCAATTGGTAGTACTATAGGAAGCTATGCCATGGGTATTGGAATGCGCTGGAGAGAATCAAGTGTAACGATAGTAGAGAAGCGCCCGACTCCATCTTATGAACTGCTTAAGTTTAACCGTTGTGTCCTTACCGAACAAACACTGAAGCTTTTAATTGATCTAGGGTGCACTGAAAATAAGCTTCGTTCCATTTTAAAGCCGGCTTTGGGATGGCGCTTCATGAATAATCAGATGGAAGTGCTGAAGGAAAGCAAAACGTTTCCTGGGTGTGCCTTGGGCGAGGCATCGTTTCATTGCAGCAAAGGGCTACTCATGCGCTTGCTTAGAACTGAGTTTCTTCGTTTCGGAGGAACAGTTATATGGGGATCTGAGGCTTACGACGCATTTGAGAGTAATGATGGCACTGATACGTGGTGTTTGAGGAAAGACTACGGCCTTGGAAACGCGGCCGAGGCGATTATTACAACAGCCAAAGACACAGCGCTCCACTCCGCGCTTATTGCCGAAGACCCCGACCGTATCGCGATTCTGTTTGATGTGGAGACGGGTGTTTCGTGCATTGACAGCGAAGCGAGTCAGCGCATCTTTGGATCGAGCAATGATGTAGTCATCATAGTTGGTCAGGGCTTTGCTATGCATATTTGGCTGATGGATAAAAATCGCTGCTCATGGCGACTTGTACGTAAAGCAACGAAAAGAAGTGAGGGCGAAGAAGATGTTCTCCAACGGTTAGCGACTGACTTAAGGAATCTAATATTTGCAAGCGAGAATCGAACTCAGCTCATTTGTACACTCCCGGGAACAACGCCTGCGATTCGGGACGATAAAGTGCATGCAAAAATTAGTGTATTGGGGGATGGGCTGCTTCCAGTGGATCCTTTTGAGTGGCGTGGCGATAATGCACGTTGTGCGATTGAAGAGGCTTCTTCTATTTGTCGGCTATTCTATGGTAAGAAGTACCATCGGGGGGATACTTCTTTCCTCCTACGCAGCATAGAACAGGACTCGATCTGTAAACGGGCAAGCCTGTTGAAGCGGGACTTGGTGGACGCAGAGCACTTTTTGGCATTGCATCCTGCATTGGACGATGAACCAGTTGGACCAATTGGTCTTGTTGGAGCAAGCTAGCCAGAATCATGAGGGTAATTTTATAGGTGCTCTCTTTCCTTCGTTGAGATCAAGTACTGAAAATATGGACTTGTAGCCTTATAAAAGGACCACGAATGTAGGTGGATAAAACTACGGATTTCGTTGAAGGGATTCCTTCTTTTCCCTTTCTTTAGAGGAAAAAAATATCTATGAAGATGCTCTTGATGTCTGCTTCACTCTCCGCACACTTTTTATACGCGGCTATTTTTTCGATTCTTCGGATAAATACATGAATTTTCATCATTTCCCCTTCTCCTAATAACAATAGCAGCATTTCGTTTTGTGCACTTGACATACAGTGGATCTCCCATCAGTCAAAGTTAATACCAGACAAACTATAAGAACAGATTCCTAAGAATGGACAAAAAGACGAATGCTTTGGGTGAGACTTCAGTCATCAGCGATGCTCACAAAGATTCTGATTCAAATTTATCCTGTGGTATCCTCAAGGATGGCACTCGTTTCTTTTACCCAGAAACAATGTCTGTTGTCCAATCGCTAACTTCCTTCAAGACATGGAATTCGTTTGGAACCTTAGTTTGGTTGGCTTCAGTGGTAGCCATAGGATCCACGTGGTTGCTATATTTGATGGGGGCTTTACCTGTTTGGTATTTTTGTGTTCAATTCGCCTTTTGGCGTATAGTATACAACCTTGGTATTGGCTACATTTTACACAAGCAGTCCAATAGCTCCTTTTTTGTCCGAATCTATCACAGTGCAATGAGGCGTTACCCTTTCTTGCGATCGCTATTGGAGGAATCTGTTGTATTTACAAAGGGCAAGTACAAAGTGTCTGAGTTCCCTGATGTGTTCAACGCATGGATGCTGTTTCGTCAGCTGGAAAATGTTGTTCTTTCCAGCGATCTTATTTCTTACATTGTCCTTTCCATGGTGTGTTGGGAAAAAATATCACCCTGGTGTCCGCTAGACATGCTTTGTTTTTTCATTGGGCTTGGATCAATTTTATTTTCCCTGCGTTGCAAAATCGAGGCGCACCGCGTGGTGGGGGACTTTGCCTGGTATTGGGGTGACTTTTTCTTTTTACTAGACAGAAAGCTCGTGTTCGAAGGAATCTTCCAAATGTTTCCACACCCTATGTATACAGTTGGATACACATTTATGTATGGTATTCCACTCATGGCGAAGTCCTACACTCTCTTTTATATGAGTGTTTTTGGCCACTTGTCGCAATTGGCTTTTCTGGCTCTGGTAGAAAATCCACATATTGACCGCACTTATAGTCAAATTGTTGAGATATCAGAGGAAGATAAACAAAGGGATGCAATTTTGTATGGTGAAGGTTATCTCAAACCCAAGGAGATGATAACACTTCTTAACTTTAACATTTTTCGTGCGAGTGATTTACTTCTTGCTTTAGTAATTTTTTACTTGTTTTTATGTATTTTCTTACCTATACCACCATATGCGTTCGTTATACATGCTCTTTTCTGGCGTGTGTTTCACAATGGTTTTTTGGGTTATCTTCTACGAGAGGAGTCGGAAAAAAGATGGTTCTCTAAACAGTATGAATCACAAAAAATTGCTTTCAGAAACTGGAAACGTATTTACAATGCCAGCGTAACGATTACATCTATAGCCTATTGTCTGTGCGCGTATAAACTATTTCAATGGGAAATGCCTTTATTTAGTAGTGGAGAGTCCCGTGTTTTCATTATAGTGGTTGGTATTCTTCTGATCGGCATCAATGTTTATGTTAGTCTAAACGTTTTTGAAGCGATTGGAAGTTTTGGTTATTTCTACGGTGACTTTTTCATCCGAGAGGTTTCACCTAGGATCAACTACAGTGGTATCTATCGATACCTAAACAACCCTGACACCATATTAGGAATTTCAGCATACTACGGTGTTGCTTTTATCTCGGGAAGTTGGGTGGTCTTTCTCTTGGCTATTTTTTCGCATGTCTGTGTCATCGCTTTCGATCATTTTGTAGAGCTTCCTCATATGAAAAAGCACTACGAAGATCAACTACGTAAGCGTGGCGGGTTCCATGCGGAGTTATTGAGAAAGGTCGATACAACCAAGACAGAATGCAAAAAGTGTGTTCAAAGCCTTCAGGTGAAGCTGGCAAGCTCCAAGGAAATTTGTGACGACATGGTTAAGGGCTGATGAAATTTAATAATACACATGCATTAAAAAGTATAACTTACGAACTAAAATGTCCAGATCAAATAGGATAGAAGCTTATTTTTAGGTATGATGCTTTATCGTCCACTCTTTTTGATTAACTACCCCTCCTTTTAACAGTTGCCCTTGTAGGTCTCTAGAACAGCTTGAATCACATCTTCAACAGACCACGCCATGGATGTGTCTAGAATTCAGGAGGACAATAGGTTTCGATCCGAATCCCCAGAGCAATATCGTCTAGATCCGCCATACACTTATAGCCGGTACAGGAGTTTGTCCAGCTCGCGTTTCAGTAGCCGAGTTAGCCACCGCTCCAGCGCTCGCGATGAGGCACAAACCCTGGATGAATTTCTCCGCAAACAGCGTGTCATTCGTTACATGGAGGAGGAGCGTGAGCGCGCAGGACGCACTAATGTTTTGCGTGACGAACACAATGAGTGGATTGAGTTTCGTGCTACTGAGCGTTTCGAACGACTCAAGTATATGAACGAGCAAGAAATCGAGGATTTACTTCAGCGCGAAGCGGAAGAGGCTTTGAAAGAAAAGACTGCAGCCGAAGTCGCAGCAAAGCGGGTTGCCGAAGAAACGATCCTAAGACGTCGAGGTTTCGTTGAGGTTAGGAAAAGTGGAAGTGAGCCAGTGGTAGCCAGCGGAAAAAGCAAGACATCAGCCATAGGAGCTGATCAGAAGGCAGAGCGTAACTCAGCACCGAAGCAAGTGCCGTCAGATGAGATTGAGGATGCACGGCAGCTCTGCCTGGAGCTGCGACGTCGAGAAGAGGAACTCGTCGTGGAATGCAACCGTCTGAAGGACAAGCTAATTGAATCGGATAGGATAGCGGCCTCCGCCGTAAGGGATCGTGAAAAGGCGGAGAGGGAACTTGTTAGGGAACACCAAAAATTAAGTAAGAGTGAAAGCGACATGGACAGTCAGGCACAATTGCAAAGACAGGTTGAGCTACTGAAAAAGCAGCTGGCTGATCTGCATGGTAAATTCGCTTTGACGGAAGTAGAGCGGAAAAGGTTGCTGAGCCTTGTTGAGGAGGGCAATCCCTCTAGGAGCGGACTTCAAGGGCAACTGAATAATTTGAAAGACAAGCTTAGGCAGATGGAGACAGAAGCCGAGGATTCCAAGAGGAAGTTGGCCGCACTGCAAGAAGAGCTTGTTGTCAAGAACGAGCAAATCGATCAGTATAAGACGCGGTTAAAACTAGTTCAAAAACGATCCGATGAGGATATTAAATACGCTTCTCCTAAAGTTGATCGGCGCTCCGAAAATGACCCTGAAATACACAAAAAGGACAAGCAGGAATTTAGGCGTCTACAGAAATCCATGGAAAAGATGCGAGCCGAGCTGCAACGAGCTAACCAGGAGAATGATAACCTCCAGCGAGAATTGAACGAAGCAAGGGAGCGCCCACCAATTTCGACGGTAAAGGTGATGTCGGACCAAACTGACGAAAAGAGTGTTACTGTTCTTAATAAAAAAATAAACAATTTGCTGAATGACACTAACAGGAATGCGGCTACCATTCAGTGCCTCAAAAATGAGCTTCAAGCAGTCCAGGAAGAACTGCAGTACGAAACAGCAGCACGTGCTAAATTTGAAGAACTTGCAGCTCAGGCGATTGATAGAAATGGTGTTGTGCCCGAGGTAGAGCTGGTTAAGTTGAAACAACAGCTTAAAGAAAGTGATGTAAAACTTCGCGAAGCCCGTGCGGAGGCTGATGAGGTCCGACGTAGTGCTCAGGAAGAGATTCAGGGGCTTAAAAGTTGGTGTGCACGATTGAGGGAGCGTCAAGACAAGCAGATGCGTGATATGGAACTCGCTTTACAAAACGTCTCCGCCGATCCGAAACGGAACTCACACAGTGAGCAAAAACCACAGGTACCGGAACTTCGAATGAGGACTGCTACATTGAATCATCCTAGAGCAAAGCCTTGGAAGGGTGTGAGCGCAAGTCATGTCCAAAACAATGGGATCCAAGAGCAAGGGAAAAGCCGACTAGAGGGTTCGGAAGTGTCTTTTGTGACCATCTCATCTCCAGGTCATGATAGTCGGATAGACCAAATGCAACTCGATATGGAGCGACTTAAGAATGAAAATGCGGAGCTCCAGCGCAAGCACAACGAACTGCTTGAGCAGTGCGATAGTCTTAAGTTCAAACAATTAACAAGGGAAGGGGGTGGCAAGTCTGAAAGTAAACGTGGCCTGTATGTGGAAAGGGAGGTTCAAACAGATTCAAGGTATCTTGAAGAGCCTGTGCTATCCACTCAGCCCAATATACTAATAATTGATAAAGTGGCACAAAAGGTTGCTAGGGCTGACGCATTGAATGCAAACAACACAAAGCTGGAGGGCCGCATCACTATTTCAAAGCTAATGACAGCGGAGGAGAGAGCGACTAAAGAGGTTATCGAGGGAAATGTGGATGAGGTGAAAATGCAGGTACCCAGTTTACCTTGTGCACCAGTATTAAGTGCCGAGGAAGAATCAAAAAAGGCGATTACATCATCTGAGGTTACCGAAACGAATCCAACTTTTAGTTCAAACGCCCAGCAAAAGAGGCAGCGGACGAAAGCTAAATGTGGTTGCCACTGAGACTGGGAGCACAGCTTTTTTCTTCGAAAGCGAGAAATCCTCGTTGGACTCTTTTTTTACGTGCGATGGCCTTCTTGAAGCCTGAGAGGTCTCCTTGTGTCTCTCTTTATCTTTGATGTAGGAAAAAAAAACACAAAATTTAATACCCCAAAATAGAAAATGTTAAAGTGTGTGTTCATATCGCACCTCTTTCTCTTACTTTTGTGACACTTGAGACTTTTCATGAATATTATGGTTGTCATAGAATAGATTAGGTTCCCGACTTCTATATAAAAATGAATAAGATATTTTTTCTTTTCCCTTTTTGCATGGTATTGCATCTTTCCCTTCGGGCGTTTATTGGTTTCGCCTTTCGATTCGTTTTAGACCCTAAAATACTGCATTATGATTTACTCTCCTTTACTTGACTACCTATGACCGCCATGTTTACATCTTCAAAGCGAAAATGTATTTTCCAAAGTTGTTTGGACTTCACGTTGATTACTATTATTATTCTTTTGGTGCATCAGTAGATGATCAGTGTGGTCTCATTGACAACGGAACAGTGCTCTGTACATATTGATAAAGTATTTTTTTATATTAGTCAAAGTTTCCTATGGGAGGAAAACGTCGTGCGGAGTGGAAAGTTAGTAAGGGGGGAATGGTAAAATCTGTATGAATTTGTACAAAATGCATCGATCATACTAAACAAAATGGTTCAACCCATAGAGATGCACGAGCATTGCGGTTTACATTTACCAACATGTTTTTCTTTTTTTTCGTTATTCGTCTTTGCATACAAAACAGTGTCGGGAGCAACTATTCAGTTGCTAGATATTGGACGAGATTCTTCATAATTTATGAGCACAAGTGTAGCTACATGCATCGATAAGTCCTTGTGGAGGCTTTCACGATCTGATTTTAATGAGTTGGTAAATCAATTCCGAACTGGTAGATATGCATGGGTGGTGAGGGAGAAAGTAAAGGCTCTTGAGGGCCTTGTTACGTGGCTAGAGGGAAATCACCGTCTCATGCAACCAAATAGATCAGAAGTTTTGGTGCATCTGTATGTTGTCTACAATGCGAGCTACTCGCTCCCGCAGCTTTGCTTTTCACCAGCCTCCTGGGACGACTTTCCGCATATCCATGAGTTTCTACCGAGATTACTATTCACAAACATTGCAGAACAGAATTCATTGCATGATTCTGGATCAGAGCGACCACTGGTTAGTTACACTTACGTGGACGACCTTCAGACCATGGTTTATACTGTGCATCCTTGTGATACCTCTGGCTTGATGACATGTGGTAATCTAGACGGTCTAAAAGGAAATGCTTTACGCATCTTTCTCCAAGTCATGGCACCTTTTATTTCACTACCCACAGTGTTCATCCCGGATGATGTAGCACTTTGAGTTTATTCACTCTTGAAACTTCTACTGCTGTTCCCTGTCTAAAAAAATCCTGCCTAACTGTATCAGAAATTAGGACGTATGCTTGACAATTACTTCCAAAATTCTGATATGATTCTATTGCATTATTCACTCTGCATATATTTTTGTTCTCAAAACTGCATTCATCTTTTAGAAATGTACAGAAAAACCATAAAACGTCTTGTTGCTGCCGGTAGCGGGCCGTTTGATCCCTATAAAATACTGGGGATTAGCCCTTCAGCCTCCAAAGATGAAATCAAGCGAGCGTATCATCGATTAGCGCTTCGGTATCATCCGGATGGCGGCCCAGAGGGCAATGCTGAGCGCTTTGCTGCCGTCCATGAAGCGTACGAGGCAGTGAAAAGTGGCCAATGGAAGCCGATAGCGGAGCAAATGCGAACGACAACCCAAGGAGAAGCTTACGGATGGGATCCTGGGATGAGGATGTACGTCTACGAAAAGCCTGGCTCTACCACCGAAAACTACGTTTCCGGGCATACGCAGACAATCCTCAGACTTTGCATGGTGTGGTGCTTTCTTTTTTTTGTGGTTCGCATTTCCTTGTTTTATGTTTTCCCTAATCATACTAATAACAATGGTGATCAAATATTAAATGACTTGCACGCGGATCGCACCTGTGCGTCACGTGTCTCTGTTAGTGGTGACTCTATCCATGATGATGAAGCTGAATTCAAGTGGGCTGTAGGTATGCACGGGGATACTGGCCCTCAACCTGCCAACTTTGTTGATTCTCTTCCACGTAGGACTTGAAAGACGGTGATGGGGTGTAGAATTTGTGATCGTTCGCATTGTGCTTTTAAATGTATAAATTTCAAACGACGCATTGCGAGTTGAAGCTATCTGGACTTTATATATGTTACTCTCTCTTTTTTTTATTTCAATTTTAACTCATGATCTATGCATACATGCATAGTGACATATATCGGCATAGATCTTTGTTTTACCGTGATTTTGACAACTAATTTGACCAAGCAAGTTTCCTAACATGTCGCATTCCTTCGTTGATGTTATCACACCAAAAACATCTCGTGCAAAGCACCTTGGTTATATCTTACCTAATGGCGTAAAGTGCATTATTATTCATGACCCTAGTGCTAAAATGCCAGCAGCAGCAATGTGTATCCATGCTGGACAGCTTAACGACCCAGAGTGCCTTCCGGGTCTTGCGCACTTTTGTGAGCACATGTTGTTCATGGGGACTGCAAAGTTCGAGAAGGAAGACGAGTACCACTCATATATTTCGAAGCACAACGGCTTTTGCAATGCTTTTACGGCTGACTGCGACACGGTTTACTATTTCCAAGTTAGCGATGAAGGCTTTGAGGGTGCACTCAACCGCTTTCTGGAATTTTTTGTGGCACCTAGTTTCAACGCCAGCGCTGTGGGTAGAGAGGTTCAAGCAGTGCACAGCGAAGACGAAAAGAACCACAGTGTGGATGAATGGCGCGTCGATGAGTTATTCCGTACACTGCATAACCAGAAGCACCCACGATATCGATATGGTAATGGTAACGTCACAACCTTGGTTGAGGAACCGAAGCAAATGAATACAGATCTTCGAGAAGAACTTCAAAAGTTTTATTCCAAATACTATCTCTCAGGGGCATCCTGTATCGTGGTGTACAGTGCATTCACTCCTTTGGATGTATTAAAGCTTATTGAGACCCCTCTTATGAATATGAGGGTTGGTGGACCGCCCTCTTTTCATTTTCTTGAGGATGGTGATACCCTCTTTGAGAAGTCGTTGGCTCCTTCGTGGGTCAATATTCAAACGCTAAAGAAATCCCGTCAGTTGCATATTTGTTGGCCTGTCCTTTCATCCGTCAAGCTGTGGAAGTCCGTGCCATCGTCCTACATATCTTACGTGCTGGGGCATGAATGCAACAACTCAGTTTTCGGTGTCCTAAAATCACGAGGTCTTGCCACCAGCATGGTTGCTGGGACGAGAAGGGTGGACGATGACTTTGAATACTTCTATGTCGAGGTCGCCCTCACCTTGAAAGGGTTTAGACATATAAACGAGATTATTGTCTTGATCTACCAGTGCATCGGGCAATCTATCCAGGCAGGGATTCAAAAGAGTGTGTATGAGCAGATTAAGAATGAGGAAAGGTTGCGGTTCGAATCTTGCGAAGTGAACAGTCCAACTTCGCATTGTATCGGGTTAGCGATGGCGGGGCTGATATGCGACCTGAAGCATGCATGGATTGGTTGTCAGGTGGTTTTGGAGGACAACTACGAGGAGTGCCTGAACTATGCCAGGCAGCTGACACCAAAGAATAGCATCATCTTCCTTAAGTGGTCTGGATTTCCCGCCTCTGATGAAGTCAAAGCTGATAAGAATGGCTTCACAGCTGTCCCTTCTGCTGAAGAGGAGGTAGAGGAGGAAGAAGCTCCTGTGCAGACTGAGGGGGAAGATGCCACTCCTGCTGAGGATCTCTTTCGATGTCTCCCGATTTTTGCTCAGCATATGGTTGACAAGGTTACACGATTTCATAAGGCTACATACTCTCGGATGCCTATACCTAATGCTGATATTGATGCCTGGATGCAGGCGCTGCAGCCGCCGTACCCGGAAGAGCTTGGTCTGCCCACATCAAATCCTTACTTAACAACCGATTTCACGGTTTTCCCACCGGAAAGTGACGAGCCTGCGAAGCCGGTATCGTACTCCTTTCAGAACGGGACTGTTGTTGTTCGTAAAGATAATGTCCATCACAACACCTTTACATGCGCCATACGATTGGTTACACTTTCACCGGTCTCGTACAAGTCTCCCCTGAACCGAATGTACATGCAAGTCGCGTGCTTTATTCTGAAGGATGTCCTGACCGAGTTGAGCTACTATGGCGAGCTGGCATCCTTGTCCAATAATCTGGTTGCAGGCCCAGGAGGTATTGATGTCACCATCTGTGGACCGTACCAGCATATTATTCGTTTTTTCCATGATATTTTAGCAAAGCTTTTCGATGCTGAGGCGTTGGAGGGGACGAGCGATAAATATTGCAATTATGCTGAGCAATATTTGCGAAAGCTTCAGAGTAGAAAAACCTCGCAGCCGTTTCAGCTGTGCTTAGAAAAGCTTTCGAAAATATCGTCTTATTTGTTATTCACTTTTGAGGATATCCTCGAGGTTGCTTCATCCGCTTCATACGACGGCTACAAGGCCTTCATATCGCAGTATCTGGGCGCTGGATTTCTGTTTGAATGCTTTGTCGCTGGAAACGTTCCCAGCGCCGAAGGGATTAAGCACGTGCTTGCGAATGAAATCGAAATGACCCTTTCCGGCCTCCCATCTTCTGTGCCGTCTGCAGAGTCGATCCCGCGTTTCCGCGACTCCCTTGACCTCACCTCAAATGCGGAGAGCCCTCCCTTTGGTATCGTCACCACCTTGGATGTAGTTGCCTATCCTCCGTTTACTTGTTCAGATCCCAATGTGGTTGTCACACTCAATATCTGCACTGGAGTTGCCACTGCACGCACTACGGTTCTCACCAAAATGGCAGCAAAATTGCTTTCCTCTCGATTCTTCGATGCATTGCGAACTAAGGAAATTCTCGGATATGTGGTATTCTGTCATGCTAGAATCACAGAAATGAGTGCTCACGTGATTTTTTCTGTGCAAAGTGCTCTTGAAGATGTTGATTCGCTATACTTGCTGTCACGTATCATTGCCTTCCTGTCTGCTGTCGAGAATAATCTCGACCATATCTGTGGTGAGGATGATTTCAAGGATATTAAAACAGGCCTAATTCAGTCTTTGGAAAAGCTTCCAGACTCAGTGTATTGTGATGCCGAATCTTTGGAAGACGATTATAGGAGCGCCAGCGGTTTAGACAACAAAGCAGAGCAGATTGATGCGATTAAGTCAATTACATTAGATGCGTTAAAGGAATTTTTCCATTGCTACCTCTTGAATCGCCGTACCAACGCCTGTGGGCTTGTCGTCATCGTCGATAGTGCGCGTTGCGCAGCTGAGAACCCTTTCAATACGGAGGGCGCGGCCGGTCGGAAGTTCGCGTTGAAGCTTCCACCGAAGCGTACGGGTAGCACAGACGAGACCCCAAAGGAGCTCACTGAGGGTGACTTGGTGCTTCCCGCTTTTGAGGAGGGCACAGCGCATGTGGAGGTCCATTGCATCGATACCATCGCGTCATATAGACAAGACCGTCCAGTTTTGCGGAGTCACACATTTTAAGAAATAATAATAGGTGAAAAGAAATAGAGGATTCCATATAGTGATGAAAATAGATATTCAACAGTAACACGATTCCGAAGTCTTATATCTTGAACTGCATTTCACACCTAGATGGAGGCAATTACTTTGCCTTGTATGACTTGATTTGTTTTTGCCTCCAGACTCACTTTATTAGTTTGCTTTTTACCCCCGGTGCGTGGCCACCATCATGTGTGAGGCTGTGTTTTGGAGAATTTTACTCCGTAGAGAATCAATACTACATAGCGATAGGGCCTATATTGATTATGTTTGTTGACACCTTAGTGGAAGAGGCAGCCGACCCTGGAGCGTCGATATCATATGGTTTACCCTCCCTAAAGTTGTCCTCCTCTAGGCATCATCTTTCTGAACGCAAATTTTCCCCTTCCTATGAGCTTCATCAGTCCACATTGAAGCTCACTGGATACCTCCATCATTTCAGAAAACTACACTCTGGCGTTCCAGAGCTGGTTACATTTGAAGTTGGTGGAGTAGAATTTACTGTCCATCGGAATATCCTTGAAAAGGACCAACACTCACTCTTATTTACGCTGGCTAGTCAGCATTACCTTCAGAGTAAAACGAATGAGCAGGACGTCTGTAGGGACGAGTACGGACGATGCAAGAGGGGCAGAAAAATTACTGGCGATGTAGATCGAAATCCTAGGTGCGATGGTGTCGGGGATAAGATTGTGATTCCCGGGAAAGACCCCATAATTTTTGGCATGATTTTGAATTTCTTGAGAGGGTACACCAATGCGATTCGGTCCCCGGCGTGGAAGGAAGCGTGCGAGGCAGACATAGAGTACTATGGATTGTGGAAATCCTGGAGTGCTCGCTACTCCCTTTCATTGCAATACAAGTTCAATTTTCTGATGACTGGGTCTCAATTGTTTTCTGATTTAGTGTGCGGGATAGCAAGCCCGTACTTTTCTTCAGGAATTCACGCTATTACTTTTGCCATCGCCCACTGCGACAGGGTAGGTGTTGGCGTGTCGATGGAACTGGGCCTCAGCCTGCCGCATGACATCGTTCAGGAGGGCCATGGGAAAGTTTTCTATTGGAATGATGGGAAAATTACATCCAACTTAATAGAATCCAAAGTTGCAGACACTGGCTGCCCTTTTGGTTCCTCAACAGAAATACAAATTTACCTTGACTCGGATGAGAACACCGTTCGTTGGGTTGTTAATGGGGATGACTGTGTCAGTATGCAGCGCCTTCCAAAGGGGAAGTCATTTGCTTTTTGTGCCGTAGCCGCGCGCATATCGCAGATCGATATTTTGACTCACAGGAGTGTAAACTACCTGTAATATGTTCCCCGTATTTCAGTATATTACAGCAGCGTCATTTCGCTGCTTATTTGTGTACAAACCATAGTCCACTCTCTTCAATGATGCGTTTTTAAATATCTTCTGCTATTCATTCCTGTTCAGTATCGGCTGGTGATGTCGCTTTCGATTTATTATAGCCTTTGTTTACTATGTGAAGCGCAGGGTGAAGCTCAGGGAGTGGCCTTAAAAGGCTGGCGTATCACATACACCGAATAAGTATTTCACGAGCAGGTTGTTTGCTACTTCTTAAGCAGTATATACTGTAACAATGTTCTGATTTTGGTTTAAAAACCCTTTAGTGTACTTTAAGAAGTGCTTGTTCATTTTTCGATTGAAAAATCTGCTGATAAATATCTGTTTATCCATTGGATCAGCGAGTTTCTTTCTGTCTAGCGAGTAATCTAGATGTTCTATCCCTTTTAAGTTGGGGGTGCCACTTGAATCCGCCGTTATGCAGCAAAGTTTCTTTTATCAGATTATATTTTTCACTGCATCTTGATATCCTTATTTGCGCTTCGATTTTATACGGTTGTACAAAAACCGTGTTCAACAATCTGAATTCAGTGGGTGTTGTTTTTTGTTTATTTTCTGTTGTATTGATAAAATTATTATGATGCTAATGAAAAGTATGAAATTAAATGCTTTCAGGATCATTCAGGTTTATTATTTTTATTATTTACCTTAGGTTTCTTATTTTTGAGAAAAGAACTTTAACATAAAAATTGTTTACCTTAATAGGAGCTAAAAAATATTGCAAATGCAGAGCAGTCTAAAGGAGGTCGATGCCCCAGCTTGTGTAAAGCTTTTGAAGAGCCTCAATTACCGCATCTCAGAGGAAGAACATAGCTCCCTCTGTGATGGATTAACTGGTTTGTACTCATTCGGTTGGCATATTTTTGGATTGTTTGTCATCCTCATTTCCTCGCTTATCGGCGTATTTTTGCCACTTATAATCACACATGTCGCGTGTTTGAGTAGAAATCCGTACATCTTCGCCTTCTCAAAGGCTATGGCCACAGGTGTTTTACTTTCTGCTTCAATGATTCATCTTATAAACGAAGGAGCCCACATGTTTCTTGAACCCTGTGTTGGAGCTTGGGTATCTAGTTACAAGGCCTATGCCTTCTTATTTGCACTGATCGCTGCCCTTCTTATGCAGGCACTAGACATTGAGCTTGCCACCATCGCCGAACGTTGGATACGACGCAACAAGGCTAACAAGTCACACAACACTATTTCGCAGAATCCTCATGACCAACTGACGCAGCCTTATCTTTCAAGTAACTCCCCTTCGAGATGCAAGGATGAAAATTTGCTTGGGTCCTCGCCAACTGAGGTTCCGTTAGTACTCAAAAATACCTGTGAACATGCACGAAATGATGATTGCCACGGTCATCAGCATTTCTTTGAAATGTCCCAAGACATGGGAATGGCACGTAAAGTGATTTCAGCAATTTGCATGGAATTTGGTGTAGCTCTTCATAGTATCTTTGTGGGCATCGTAGTTGGTCTAACAACCGACGATGAGCTCAGTCCATTACTCATTGCACTTTTCTTTCATCAAATGTTTGAGGGGATGTCTTTGGGATCGCGACTAGTGGATGCAAAATTTAGAGGAGCGCTTGAAATAATACTGGCTGCTATTTTTACGCTTAGTGCGCCCTTTGGGATGGCCTTGTCAATTTCTGTGGTTAAGGTCTCTCGTGACGCCATGTCCGGATCCACCTTTGTGGAGACCATAGCTGTGCTAGAATCGTTTTGTGGTGGTATCCTTTTGTATCTCGCATTTACGTTACTTTTGTTTGACTTTCCTGAAGACCTTCGCAAATTCTGTGCCGATGGAATGCCTGGACGGGTTAAGCGTAAATTAGGTTTGTTCTTCGCTCTTTGGTTTGGAATGGGTTTGATGGCGTTTGTCGGAAAATCGTTGTAGTTGGTATAATCTCACAACTTTGCTAAAGTCAGTTCATATTGCAATTAATATTATTTTTTTTGACGCACGGTTAACCTTTTTATGTATGTAAAGCATATTATGGATCTTTGATGAGCTTTTATTTAAGGGAGGTCTCTTATGCCCCATTGTCTCCGATAATATCTTATTTTGTCATAAATTCTGGCTGATCATTATCCCTGGTTTGACCGAAGAACTGATGCTTGTCGTTTTCAGCTCTAGCGTTTGCTCATGTAGCAATGTACAGTGATTAACAGACGTGACACACATCATGTGAGGAAGTTCGATTCAGTGATTCCCATTCAATTGTTGAGAGTATTACCGTCATTACCCCCCCTCTACTCTGGTCTCTTTCCCGAAATTGTTGGTTTCAAATCTTTTTAACGACACTGCATTTATGGTTTGTATTTTTAGTCTTTCTAAATTTGAAAGAAAAATCCATAAAAGGGACCTCTATCACCTTCAAAGCGCGTCACTTTTTTAGCGTCACGTTTTCGATGGATACTTAAAATGGTATCCTGGTTGTAATCTATCCATTATGGGCTTCTGAATGACCCTGCTTAGACACAGCATAACAACTACACCTCCTGTATTACTTGAAGTTTCGCATAAAAACTCTTTTAGAGGGGTGTAAATCTTGTAAAGTATCCGACACCCAGTGTTCCTCATTAGGTCACATCAATTATACAGCTATGGCACAATAAAAGCAAAAAATTCCAAATGGTTGATGGGTTGCATTTGTGGCATTTACACAATTCCAAAAGGAAGAAAACTATCAGTATTACACTGGAAGCGGTTTTCACTGCCTAATGTAACAGCTCTTGAGACGTTGTGTGTGAGGATGAGGGCAAAGCAGAACTTTGCCAATTCCATCAAATAATCTTTGCCAACTGTCAATTTTAATGCGCAACGCGCCCCTTGTTGAATCTTTCCTTTGATTTCGCTCATCTTTTATTAAGATTTCTCTTTAATTAGAATTCGCGAAATAGTTATTCGCGATGCTGGACGGCATGCAACGACTCTTGCTTATTCTTTTCTTATTTACCTTTTAATTTGGAAATATACTTTTTTTTGACGTAACAGGTATTTTTCTCCACCTCCTTTAATTTCGCTCGCTTCATCACCCCGCATGGACAAGGGGGTATTTACCGCATGGAGACACCATATGAATACTCAAATTGATGACGCATACCCTTACAGATGCAGAATATATTTAACAAGAAATGTTCTAAATATGATTTTTTTTCTTCTGGTGAATATAAGTTTCCGTGTAATGTGTGGGCCAAGTTTCTTATTACGTCCAATCTCTAAGCGCGTAATCCCAAAGAGAGACTAAACTCCGCAATACCGAGTGTTTATTCTCGCAACTAATCTTGAGTTAGGCCTCATTTCCTACAGACTCACCGTCTTCCATAAAGAGGAGGTGGTCTAATAATCATATGCTGAAATGTTATTTTGTGAGATTATAGACCTGAGTCGGCCATTGTATGATGGGATGCTGGTGTATGAAGGAGATCCGGCTGTCAAAATTTCAAGGGTCCGTGAGCGCGAGAAAGACGGTTGGGAGTTGAGGGAAATAACGATGGGCTCACACACCGGCACACATGTAGATGCCCCTGTGCATATGCACGCAGGGGCGCCAGCGCTGGATGATATTCCGCTGAATCGATTTTGTGGTCCTGCGGTGGCAGTAAGGCCAGAAGATGATTACCCACACCATACAGGGCTACTATTTGTTGAGCCTATTGGGATGGAGCAGGTCGACAAAATTTTGCTCGCTCAGCCACCCTTCGTCGGCGGTCAGCTGGAGGAAAGCGTGGAACGTGTCCTTTTGGGAGAAGGGATCATTACATATACTGATTTGGTTAATATTGAAAAGCTTGTGGGCAAAGCTTTCACCTTTGTAGGTCTACCGTTAAAGATCAGGGAGGGCGATGGTTCCCCCGTGAGGGCGGTGGCTATCGTACACAACAGATAATTTGTCAAAAATGGGAACTTAGCCTTTTTGTTCCTTTTAGTGTTATTTCAACCTAGCGGAGTACTCGTTGACTTGTATATTTTATTCTTCAATTTATTTGTTTATCATCCCGTATATTAAAAGTTTTTTTTTTAGGTGAACAACTAACCGAGGTAAGAAGTTAATTCATGCTTCGGATACTTTTGCCCCATTCCTCAAGGAGAAGCGCACCGGTGCTTCTGGTAAGGCGCTTTAGGAGTGGAAATGGTGATGCCGACGAGAAAAGAGAAGCTGATTCAGCAGCAACTGAGTCGCTTAATTATAAAAAGTCGATAAAAGCTGAGAACTCCGTCTCTGCGCAAGACGTTTTGCGCGCTGTTAAAGGGGGGGACTTCGCGAAGATGCAGCTACAAGCGACAAAGTTGGTCCAGGAAAGTTGGAATGACAAGTACAGTGTCTCACTGGCATGCATCATTGTCCTTGCCACTATGTGGTATTGGATTGCTTGGACTCGCCGCTCCATCCGGCGAAAGTGTGCCGCTATTGAGGCGGCCGTTCAGCAAGACTCCGAGACAACGCTGGAACTTGTGAGGAACCTGACAACGAAGTGGGAACGTGATCTAAAAAGGACAAACGAACGGATGGAAGATATTATCGATAAAAACAGTGATTTGACGGAGACTATTGATCATATGACCACTGCATTGCGTTCCTGCATTAGTCGGCCACTTCCTAGTTTGGCAGGTAACTCTATTAAGGGTAAGGAGACAACTTCCACAGAAGTATGAGCCCGAAAAGGCCCAATTGAGAGAGGGGGGGGGGGGGGGAGGGAGGTGTAGGATATTTCTAGAGGGCCAAAGTGGTACTAGATGCACCAAGAACTAGTGTTTCGTTTGGAGCGTACTTTTTATTCGATTCCTTGAAACCAATGAAGAGACGTATTTCACAGTGTCATGAGCTTCTCGACATCTCGCTCTTCTTTAATATCATTTGATTCGCAATGATAGACTTAGTATATTACCGCATCTCCTTATCAATTTTATCTCTGGTGTTTGCCAATGAGCATTTAATGGTTGCAAATAACGATTGATTAAAGTAGGCTGAACGCAGTTTTTATTATTATTATTTTTGGAGAGGAGAACGCTAACAAATGTGAATACAGGCGCATGCTTTCGAATGAAGGTTGCTTTCAAAAATATTTTTAAGATCCTTTAATCAGCTATATCCTTGTGTTAATGCGCCACGTGTGTCCCGCAGGGTATCGCTGAAACTGACGGAAGTCTATAGTAAGCAGAGCAACTGGGTCAAGCCAGCTTATTCGCTTTCCATTCGTATTATCATTATATCCACTTTTTTATTTATTGGTAGTTTTAGATTGAAACAATATACGTACATTATTTTAAGCTGTAGGGTGTTACAAATGACAATGTTTCGTTCTGATGCGGTAGAATCGAGCGTGGAGTGCTCTTTAGAACCACTTCCTTCGTTGCACATACCCATCGATTACCTGAAGGAGCCTTTATTTTTCGAATTGCAACTAGAAAAAGAGGAAGGTTCTATGAGTGTAAAATCCGCAGGTTCTACAGAAATGGGTGTGCAAAACTCTCGTTTCTATCAGTACTCAGTCAAAAATAATTATCACGCTAACTTGCTCAGCACACCAAACGCGCTTCGCCGTTTTCCGGCCACAACAGGGAGGGAAAAAATGTGCGCTTCTGAACCCGTTTCTGCGCCGCACACTTCGAAAAAGGCTCGGCCCCATGATTATTTAGAAACGAGATCCTTTGTGTTGCGCCGCGAGGCGATGCTGAGGCGAGAACGAGAGAGAATGGAAGAGCTTCAGCGACAGTATGATATTACAGAGGATGTACCAACTCCTATTGTTTTAGACTTGGACCCGCAAATGCTACAACCTACCAAGGCAACGCGCCTGCGTACCGAATTTATCGCTAGGCGACTCAAACAAAGGGAAATGGCAGATAATAGTACTTACCACCGTAAGGGTCGTGATACTTACACTACTGGGAAGTGTTCAAGCACGCAGAATGAGGGACCAGTCCAGGCACCCGTAGAGCGTCTAACACGGTCAGCCAAGCTCTTTAAAGAGCACACGTCGCGGCGCATTCGGGAACTGGAGCTGGAAAGAATTCGCAAAGCTCAAGAAGAGGAAGGAATCATCGAAAAGCCAGTGCACATTGCACACCCTTCAACTTGCTGTGGTTCCCAATCCAGGACTGCCGAGAAGCGTCCCTTAGAGAATTGCTTCAACCGAGCAACTCGATTGCTACATCAACGTATCGCTGAGAGACAAGAGGAGATACAAAAAGAGAGGGACAAGGAACAAGCGGCTCGTGACGCTATACTGAGACCCCCTCGGAAGACTTTCGACTATAAACTTCGATTCCAGAAAGGCTATGATAGAAACAGTCCCGTTCGCCAACACAAATGTCAGCATGTTCAAGAGAAATTAAATCCGGAGCTGCCTCGAACTAGTGCACAGATGCCGTCTGATGGTCCGTCATATTCTTCAGTCGAGTTGGGTGTTGAGTTTCCAGTCAAACGTGTAGGCTATCGTCATTATGATCAGAAAGAGCCTACTAAAAGCGCAGACATATCTCCCAGAATAGAGCAAGAACGTTTTTCGAGGACCTCCTGTCTATTCACGGTTCCCCAAGAACCTTCGACTAAGCCGAGTTGCCTATCGGCCTCTAATACTGAGCGGCGGGAAGTGGCGTGCCAAAAGGATGGCACCCCAGATTTCCCGTCCAGTACATGCATCGTTGGTAAGGAAGCTAAGTGGCACCACAATGCCTGGAAAGTGAACGCGTCCGATCATCATCTCACTAATAGGTCATCTAGGGGTAGTGGCATTACTATGCCTAATGGCGATGTGAATTTCAACAAAGCTCTTATTGATACTTCAAATGCACCCGATCATGCTTTGCAGTCTCTTGACTCTTCTAATAGGCTGATGATATCGAACATCAATGGGGATACACCGAATTTGCAAAAGCACTTGAAATCCGATACTGACTTCTTTCGGAAGAATGCTGGCTTTGATTTAGATCCACATGCTTTGGGGCTTGGAGAAGAAGTGTCCTCTAAAGACATGTGTGATTCTACCAGAGAGGACACTCCGTCATGTGTAGCGTATTCCAAGCGCCAGGTGGAGACTCTTGGACATCAAAGGAAAGTCACGGGACCTAGTCCTCTAGAAGTGTCCCGATCCCATTCTCGCTTTGTTCACTCTATCATCGATACGATATCGTGTAAACCTTCCTTGAAGGTGGCCTCATTGTCGCAGAGGAGCTCGAGTGGTGCCCAGACCCGCTGTTCCTCTCTCATGGCGCTGATTTCCCCGCGGTCTTATGCGGTATGCCATTCAATGTGCTCCGACACTCTTACCCGGTATCGGACACTTTATTTCGTCGTTATGCAAAGGCTACGGCGTAGGTTCTATATGCTATGGAAGCAATGGATATTTGAGCTAAATCCAGGGGGTTGTCCCATCAGTTCTGCTACCAAGAAGTGGACTCTGATGGAAATGTCATTTCCTACTTCTGTCCCCGGCAAGCGTCAGGAACAGGTTTCTTCAGGAATAGTAGATGAAACGTCACACACATGTTGTGATTTTACGTCAAACCGGAGCGAGTCTCTACCCCGAGGTGCACCAGGTAACCAAGGCCCTTCTGCTGAAGGGGAATCTCCACGGATCAGAGTCAGTATATCCCGTCCACCAGCGTTACTTGAAGATGGGTCTGCCACGTCTAAGTTAGCACCGAATGCTGGGGATGAGATAGCTCTAGTATCTGTTGAAATTTCCCTCGACTCTCCTTATGCTGTCACTCTACAAGGAGTTGCGCCGACTCGGTCCTGTCTAGGCCAACAAGGTTCTCTACATTCCAAAAGGGATTTGCAGACATCCTTTCGTACTGGCGAAACATGTACCATAGACAGTGGTAAGCTGAATGTGGGCGAGGTACCTTCAGAAGTACCACAAGAGAAAGATACAGCAAGCATAGATAGCATGGAATGTGCTTCGGGTTGTGACACAGTGCGTGAGAAAGCTTCGCTGAGGCAAATGGAGGATGGGCCGCCTCCAGCTTTTTCGGTTGGCAAGTGTGTAGAAACTCAAAAGTGTGAGAAATTGAGTTCGTGCTCTGACCAAGAGTTGCGTGACATTTTGGCTCTCTGCTCAGCCGATGTGTCTTTAAACCTGGATAGTCCTCCAAGCTTAAGTAGGCCTTCACCTCACGCTCCAACTCCATGGTGCTTATCACCTGCTTTGCTGTCTCCATCAGAAGCGCCACAGCAGCACCTTTCATTGGGGTGCGTGTTCTCAGAATTTAAGATGAATCAACATATGTCGTCACAACAAGATTCTTTACAAGGAGGAGCTATAGAGGGGGCGGGTAATGTTTGTGATGGGGTACACGACAGCTCCGGGCAGCGCTCTTTTTTAACTGAAGGTGAGAAAGTAGACACAGCACAAAGTGTAGCCTTTCAACCCACTGAAAAAGATCGGGCCAGCATCGAGGGGGGTGAATATCACTCCAGTATGCTGAATCAATCGAATATAGACAACACTATGTTCAGCGTGTCTAGTATATTTCCAGACCCCTCTGTATAGTATGTTGCCAGGGCTGGGAACCGTCTGGGGTATCATTATGGAATAACTTTCATCGAGAAACGTATCTCCTCGCAGTGCAACACGCTATTGAGTAACTATTTATCTTCACCTCGCCAATGACCTTTTCTACACACCAAAGCCTGGATGTATTCCCTTAAAATATGTGTGTTGTGCGTCGTAAAATACTACTGTCTTATATTTTTGAGTTTGAGGTAGTGTCTTTTGGTACACTGTCTTATTTAATGCGTTGGAACGATCAAAGGAAGACTGTTGTAGAGAAGCTTAGCCTGCATCAATGTGTATCACTCTTTTACATAGGTAGGAGTGCCGATGTCTGGTGTCTAGTTGAATTTTTTTTTCTCATACTTATATATATATTTGTGTATTATTAAATGAGGAGCCAATGCATGTGGGTCTACGTTAGAAACGGTACAATTTTACTAGATAATGAATCCACTAAAGACTTTGATTTGAGGTGTTCATCTGATGTGGGTAACGTATGACTGATTCTTCTACCCAATATCACTTTGGTCTGTGTGTTGGTGTGTTTAGGCAAATCAAGAGTGATAGCGCTGAGGGGGTTTGCTGTGCTGGGCGTTTGATTTCCCCCAAAAATACCTTTAGTAATCCAAAAGGATCTAGCCCATCCTAGGTTTTTTTAAAAAAATAATCAAGGGTTGTCACCACACAGCTCTTTTCCTGTGCGCACTCCCATGAAACCCAAGGTAGAATATCCTGTGCTCGAGATGGGTAAAGTCGTCACAGATGACGAGCTAAGCACCGAAAGGTTGAGTGCAAATGCATGCTTCGATTCATCTCCAGAGCTTGCGTTTTGTGGGACGCCCTCAGAGTCGGAGAATTGCCTTCACGGACCCAAATCAACTTGCGACCAGCTTGCAGTTAACTCAGAATGGGCCAAGAAGACAAAGGGAGTTTCCACAGCCATAACCGAGGAAGTCCTCACGCGGTATCACAACCTCAAGCATAAAGTTTTTCAAGAGTTGTGCCAACGATACTACCGTAGGTGGCTGTTTTGCAGTATGGCTTCACGTGGAACTAAATCCAGACTGGTTCATCAAGACTCATTACCTTCCAGCTTGAAGCGGACAGGGGGTACACATGATATAGGTGGATGGAGTGGCACCAAGGATTCAATATTTTATTGTAGTGAAAGTTTATGTGGGGGTTGCAACCGTAACGCTCACCGTGGGTCTATCTGTAGTAACCCTGACGGCCGTGTAAACGCAGAGCAGTCATCATCTTATGGAGAGTTGCCATCAGTTACACCCCATCATTTCAAATCAGTTTCTATACCACTTTCTGCACGGTCGCCATCACCTTTTGAAGGTATTGCGGCGACAACGGTTCCATCAAAGCTTTTAGACTACGGCACGAAGTCAGACTTACCTCAGCGACGTTCCATAACCACTTCGGATCTTCCTTACACCGGGACGCCAGCTGTGGTCCCAAATCCAGTGCGCATCTATCGTGTACAGTAGCTGTTTACGCGCCGCTGTGGAGGAGTCTAACATCGTATATTTTAGAATGCAGACAGTGATTTTTTCCTTTTAAATAGAGTATTAAATGTGCCTTTACTTGTTTCTTCATTTGTGTGCTTCTGGCTTACAATAAATTAGAAAACATTATCTACCTTCCAGGATATTGCTGTCGTCATACGCGATGCGCTATACTAAGTTTTGCCTCACTCGCTCTTCCAGCGTGGAGGCCGTCACAAAAATTGTCAGCTCCCTTTTCCTAACCTTCCTTTACTCTCATGAACTTTGTCCCCAGGTTTAAGCCAACTACGCATATGCGCCGGCCCGTACTTAGGGCTTTGGTAGAATGCGGTGTCACGAACAACCCCTCTGTTGGCTTTCGGATATGTGAGCAAAATGTAGTATTTAATGGCCCATTTGCCGACGAGGAGGCGGTTTTTAGGTTTGATTCACTTCACCACTATTCTACTAGGGACCTAGAAGATAAAAGTCCGGTAGTGGATGTGTTGAAAGACCACTGTCGCATTGATACCTCGACTGCTGGTGCCGCACACAGTCCATTGTTTCTATTCCATGGACCCTTTCTTTCCTCCACAGCTACAATATTTATACATACTGTAGAGCGCGCACTGTGTGAGCTGGCTCATAGCCACCTTCTGCTTGGAGCGGACATGAGGCTTGTCCGCGTATACTCATGGGGCGCCGCGGATGTGATAGCAAAAAGGATTATTGAGCAGTCTCGGTACAGGCCTCCAAGATATTCAGGCTCCTTTGCTGACAGCATCGACTGCTCTGAGCGACTCCAAATTTGCTTTGAGCACCTTGAGCAGGAGCTGCTTCGTGTGCGGGGTCTCCTTCGCGATGCACTCATCGTCCCAGAGGGCCATTGCGCTATCATCTGCGTCATCAGCACGATCGAGTATCGTGTTGAAAGAGCTCACACACTTCACCTTTACCTCCTTCCACCACTGCGGAGCGCCAGCCGTCTACTCAAGAAAGATCTTTGGACACTACGGAGTGCCTGGTGCGAGTCGCCGAGGCCACCATCGTTGACGGCGACTAATATCAGCCTAGCTCGTTTCTTGATGGAAGGCAATTCCAAGAATACCATTCATGTCTTTACTGTTTTAGGCTCGACATCTGTCCAGAACGCTATGCAAGATTTTCATTTGCAGTGTTGCTATGGCTGCCGGATACCATCCGACATGCTAGAAAAGTATTGCTACTCTCCATTGGTATCTTTGTGCTCGGCTCTCGAATTGCAGCCACAGACTATCTCTGTGAGGAATAACTGCACAGTTTCAGGTAGCCATACCGTGGCAGACGCAACTGCGAGAAGATTAGCATTATCAGTATCTAATAGTGTGGATGGGCATAGCGATCCATCCAAGAAACCTATACCTATCGACAATTCCTTTCCTGGCGTGGGGCCGATCCAGGGCATCTTGAAAAGTCATCCGTGGAACACTAGAACCACGGTTTCTATGGAGGAGGTTCCTGACCACTATTCTATCAGCGAACCAGAGGGCTCTAAAGAAAGGTTGCCTGATGAGATGAAGGCACTTCAGGAGGATGTGCAACACCTGGAGCAGTATAAGATGCAACTCGAAAACGCCGTTGGATTGATATTTGAGTCACTAAAGGACGTCACTGATGACCTTGCGGTTGAAGAGAGCGCGATGTTGACAGAGATTGAGCGAGCCGCTTCAATACTTGGGCTTGCGGAGGCGTCGTCACGTGCGCAGGAGCAACAGATACTCTCGCGTCTGACTGCGCTATTGAGCAACTCTAGAATTTCATGTGGCTCTGTGAAGAGTGACCAAGTTGTGCTTTAGATATGTATTTGCATTTCATCCCTTGGTTCCACATTTTCTAGAACATCCTTGCATCATTCAAAAGAGTGATGTTTATAAACAACGCGTTCTGCAGGAAATTCACTCGTTGACATGAAATATAGTCGTCACGTTTGTCATCCACTGCTGACGTTACTGCTGTCTACCGTGCACTAAAGGTCGTCACCCGTTTAAATGAACATGTTGTTGGATATTTTTTTCCGAGAAAAGTATTCATCATAACGCATTTACCTTCAGTGCAGTGATATCTCTTGATATAATCGCTCAACCAACATGCCAGTCGGGACTCAAAGTGAACCAACTGGGGTTTTGAAGAAAAATCCCAGATGAAACCCTCACTGGAATAAAGATACAATGAAAGACTTGAGAGATAACGAAGTTCGAAATAGGAACAACGCAAATTATTTTTCAATGGAATGCTCTCGGTCAAGTATTTGGCGAACCAATATGCACCATTTAGAGTAGAACATCCGCGGGTAGTCTATTAAATATGAATGCTCAACTAAGATGAGGGTGAAGCGTAAATGCGTTTCCCAACTGGAAATTAGAATACATTAGAAAGTGCATTCAGTGGTGGAGCCCTCCTTTGCACTATTATCAATTTTATTCTAGACCTGATGTATCCAATGTTAAAACAGACATTACATTTATCGGGTTCATGCACTACTTTATTTCTTTCCAATCTCCCAGTTCATTTTTATATGGGTGATTCATATATGTTTCTCAGAGCACAAAATGGATGCCATTCGTTATATTAAGGGTATTGAAAACTCAAAACTAACGATTTCCGCTGCTTTTGCATATCTGTAGAATGCCGTTTGTAGGGTACCAATCAGCGAAAAGGGATATTTGCTGAAATGTAACATGTGGCATATGCTGCAGGTATTGAATAGGTGTGAACCAGTCATGCCCTCATTATGGGATTCGTTTTTCATTAGTTTCTCTTTCCTAGCAAGTAGATTTTTTGTTTATGAGGACAGAAGCTATACGATGGATGATCTCTTATGTGTGCTACAGCGAGCACATGGATTGGTGACCAGTGCCGGGAGAGATCTCACCACCCTGCGTTTTCAGCTGGGGGAGCAGGAGGATGAAGCTTCGGAAAATACTGGTGCCATGAACTTACAAACCATTGTCCAACAACGGCACGAAGCTGCTACCCAACTTCTCTTAGCTGGGTTCGATCTCTTTGTGAAAAAGATGGATGAGCTCGATTGGAAGGCATCAACGCTAGGTAACGTTTTTGCAAAAGATAAAGAGTTAAATACTGTCAAAAAGACGATGCAGCGCTACTTCAACGGTCAAAATAAGCTAAGGGAGTCAGAGGAAGAAGATTTTCAGTCGCTTTTGCGAATTCATGAAATGAAACAGAGCCATCTGGTCGATGCTGCGGCTGGTCTGTACACAGCGCGACTGGACGAACGTATGCGATGCCGGGTTCTAGTAACTTGGATGAAAAAGTGGACGCAGCGTACACAGCTTCGAGCGCAAGAAGCACATCTGACCGCTCTCCAGAGCACTCAAAGCGATCTTGCCGAGCGTTTGTTTTGCACAACCCATAAAGCTGTCTTGAAGAGAAAAGTATGGCAATAATGGTTTCAATGCGCATACCGGCGACGGCAAAATTATCTGCTAGGCAAGGTAAACATTCTAGAGCAGAAGGCTGAGGACTTCCGACAGAAGTGTGCCAAAGCTGAAGGTCTAGTCCACAGCTTTCAATCTGACGGGTATGCGGAGTTGCAGCGTTACACACATGCCCAGTCACACGCACGTGAACTCCTAGAGGGTGAAATGGATCGGTTGAAGAAAACTTTGGAGGAGATGGCCGATGAATTTAGTGAGCGCACGTGTACCTATGTCCGCCAACAGGGGGAAACTGAGCAGTTTTTTAGGCTCAGGGAAGAAAATATGAAGCATGCCTTTGAGACGGCAAGGACAGATGTGGAGTCTTTGACGCGTCGCGTTGAGCAGTTATGTCAGGTCATGCGAAATGCAGAAGCGATGATTGAAGAGTGTATGGGCGTCTCGCACAACGCATTTTTGGATTATATGTTGGAAAAAGAGAGACTTTACGCAAGTGCCTTTTCGAGAGTTCATGAGGAACTTCTCTCCCAGTACGCTAGCTCACGTGAAGAGGTTTCTAGCCTTCTAGAAGATGTCATGCTTTTGTCGCCACTTAGCGAGAAAGTTATTTGCCAGAGAAATGACATCGCGAAATTGATTAAGCATCTCAACGCTTCCAAGGAAGAAAACGAACAGCTTCGGAAGGACCTCTCGAGACTACGGTGTGTTTGCGCTCTGTCCATGACTCGCATCAAGTGTCTCTGTGATCGAGACCGCCGAGTCGTCTTCTTCCAGCGATGGGTCCATATAGCATCTTGTAACCGCCGCCGTCGCCTGCAGGAGGATCACGCACGGCTTGCAGCGGCTCTCACGGAACAGCTGCAGGAGTTCAATCTGCAGAAGCAGAATACCGTCTCACAGCATCATAAGAAGGTGGAGCAGCTGCAGGCTGAATTGATAGCCAGTCAACTACAGCAGCGTCAGCTCCTTGATGAGCTTGGGTTGCTGAATAAGAAATGCGAGGAAAGCGACTTGAAGCGCCGTGAAGTTGAAATGGAGTTGAGCGCCGTAGCTGTGCAGAGACTTCATGAAAAGCAGGAGGGCCAAAGCTTGCTCTACGAGCTTGGCACTGCCCGTGTTGATTGCATGCTCCTAGCGGAGTCTAGGAGGCGTTTTTCAATTGAAAAATCAGAATCCATCTCTCGAAGTGAGATCTACCAGCAGGATGCGTGCACTTGGAAAAGTCAGTTAGATTTTCAGCGTGACCAGATGATGCAGATTACTACCACTTACAAAACGTTGAGGCAGCATCATGAGGCCCAAGCTGCTGCGCGAAGGGAACAGGATAAGGTGCATTATGTGATGCTTTCTCGATTTATCCGAGATTTCTGTGTTCGGCGACTTGCCTCTCGTGCTTTTGGTCTATGGAGGAGCTACACTTTATGCCGCAGCGTGCAACACTGCGAGGTGGCTCATCGCACAGCTCAGCAAGATGAGTTGGACGCCTTTGCCGAGCAAACGATGTCGCAAATACAGCAACTTCAGGATGAAAGCAGGACCGAAATGATGCAGCTGCACACGGAACACTTGCAGTGTCTGGAACATACCAAAGCTATCCAGGATGAAATGGCGTCGCTGGAGGAAGACTACAGCGCGGAACTCGCACTGGTGAATGCCGAACACTTAGAAGTAAAACAGGCATATGCCGCGCTTAGGGGGGAGCACGAGGTGTATAGAAAACAAATGGAGGGTGCAAGCGAGTTGTTGGTGGAGTATTGCGCCGCGGCTACCTTTGCGCGGTGGAAAGCCTGGGCGTGCGAATTGCGTAGCCAACGTCTCCGGCGGCAGTATGAGGGGCTTTTTCTGGCCATCTCCCAATGGCGAGGCTCGCTCCTTCATGAAGTGCAGTTCTTCAGCCAGAGACGGGAAGAGATCTTATCTGATTCCGTGGCGAGCGTGTTCGTTGTGTTCAGCCTGCACGGTCGAAACTCATACCACGAGCTCTCAGAGCGCTTCGATAGTCTCAACTCATGCAATGATGACATGAAAGCGCAGATTCAGAAACTCAAGTGGGAAAGAGAACAGCTAGGAGAACAATTATCCTCTAAGGAGGAGCACTATGGAAAGCTTAGAAAGGAACTAGTAGAGATGAGTGAAGCTTATGAACGATGCGTGACTGAGCAGTCGAGTTTGAATCGCTTTCTTACTTATGGACATCACCTTATGGAGGTTCACTTGGAGGAAGTCGCGATGACTTTTTTGACGGTCAGCAGTGCCCATTTCAGCGCCCTTCTTAAGGATCAGGGGGTGTCCCCTACATCGCCCAGAAATAATCACATTGAGGCTGAAGGTAAGGTAGTGGGTGCGCCAGCCCCGCGGTTGGACCTGCGCCTCGAGAATGTCCAGGAGTTTACGGAGCCAACAACAGTCATGAGGGTGCACGCGGCAAATCCATCACTGAATAATTCCGAGAACTTCCTGCAAGTTGACCTAAAGGACGGAGCAGATAGCAGTCCTTGTGGCGTTGCTCCTCAGCTTGCTCTAACGGAAGACGCCGAAGAGAGCGCCAAGTCATTTGCTCGAGCCCCTGATATCCTTCGGGTGTGGGCACATGGTTCCGCTGAGGCGATGAATCCGCTTTGTGTTGGCAAGATGCAAGAAGTACCAGGGAGCGTTGTGAAGACTGAAGAAATTTGCACAAAGATTCATCAAAATCTAGCGAATGCTATAGAGGGACAAACGGCCATATTGTTGGAAGAAACTTTGATTGACAATAATAAGACTGAGTTCACGCCAGATGCTGCATCACTGATTCATGGAGAGCGCTTTGACGTGATTGAGTGCCACAAGGGCTCTGAAGACGTTGACCAGTCGTGCAAGGTTAGTCCCCAAACACATTGTGAATTGTCTAGGATGAGTGAAAGCAGCTTTCAGGAGCCAATTGCTGTGTTGCAGAACGCCGTAGTTTCCTTAATTTCACTCCTTTCCCGATTTGAGGGGTTTTCTACCAACATTTTTTTTTCACCAGATTCACGGCCAACTGACCTTTCCGCAACCCTACGACACTTTGATGATATTCAGCACAGTATGTATGCTGATACCGATGCTTCTTACCCAGGGAAAGGTGTCTTTCAGAAGGGCAGCCTGGATGACAAGGGCGGTTATCTCAGTGCAAACAGGGTTCCCACTGAAAAAGTCGAATCGATGGACTCCATCCACTTAACCAAGGGGCTTCTTGGACATACTAAGTTTAAGCTCTCAGATACGATCGAGTCTACAATAAACAAGGCATCGTATGCAGAGCAAACTGAACCCCAGGGTGGCACGAGGGTATCGCCTGTGGCTGCTGTTTCCAGGTTACACATCAATCAGGGGCAGATACAGGAGAAGATGGACAAGCAGCTGCTCTGTGCACAAAATGCTACGAATCCTCCGACAGTGCACCACTTAAAAAATGAAATTACTGATCTTCATAAAGGAGTAAATAGGAACCGATGGACCCATAACATTGAGGAAGAGACCTTAAAGTGCCACCTAGAGGCAGCAACGACTCAAATTATTGAAGCGGGAAAACAGATGCAGCGCATTTTTTATGCCAATATAAATACGTTAAGGAGTCAAACTCAATTCCTCCAGAGCGAGATTCAGCGTATACGGCAAGCTGGTGCAGAGGAGGCAAAGAGAGAATTCGATACACTTCGGGAGGCACTAGAGATGCGCTTTCAAATTCAGCTGATGTCTTTGCAGGGGAGAATTAAGCAGCTAGAGCTAGAAAAGGAGTACTTGGAGAGCCGGGAGACTCAAATTGGGGTGGGTTCAGCAGACCTGCTAAGGGAGGTGCGACGCGACTTGGCTAATCTGTCTGTACAATATCAAGACTCCATAGAGGCATTGAAAATGTGCTACGGGTCTCAGCACGAGGATCACAAAGGAGAGGTTTCCCTTTCGAGCATACTTGTGGAGTATGACGTACAAGCTTGCGTGCGTTGCTTTCTATTATCACACACGTACATTGAGGCTTACTCTGCGAAGGCTGATTGGCTGGTTGAATCTTTCCTGATGGTCTCTGGAGAGGGATCTCGAGGTCGAAGCAGTGGGCTGGGGGTGTTGCATTCCGCAGATTCAGACACCCAGCTTAAATTACTGCTATGTCGGGTCCAAACTCATTGGATGGTGTGTGCCGGGTTACGTGAAGAGAGCTTGAAGGACAAGTGCCGATTATTTACGGATGGTATTATTTCCCTGATGCAGAGGTGTTGGGAGAAATGTAGTCTCCTTCTGGGGCAGACCAGACAGGCGTCGTTAGTGGATATGGAGGCTATAGAGACTGAAAATATGCAGCTGCACGAGAAGTTGGCATACTTGGAAGCTCAAGTGCAAGTCCTTTCGCGATGGTCCACTGCCGACGATGTACTCATCCACTCAGATGAAGCACATGTGCAGGGCAAAGAAGCGAGATACAGTATTGAACTGCCGAACAGCCGGGCATCAGCGGAGAGGATAATGCAGCCACCAACACAGGATGCTTCGATGGATAGGGTCGCGCCGTCCTTCTCCACCTATTATGAAGAGAACTGTTCCCCAGACCAGCCACACACGCACGGCACCACCAGACTAGGGGAGAGAAGTCTACCTGTTCGAAATAAGCCCAGCTCAGAAGATACCGAAGTTCCACCTATGCAAGGGTCGGTGACGAACTCTTATCGCAGTGGCACTCCTATTAATTCATCTCCACATGTGAAGGATATTTCCCTAGACTCGCTGGAGCTTTCCCTAGGTATTTTGCGGTATTCGGATATGCTGAGCGAACAGACTTTACAAAACGAGGAGCGTTTGGATTACGTGGATTTGCTCTCCGCTGAGTTGGAAGATCTTGCCATGCAGGGGCATCGCATTTGGAACCATGCAAAGCGTGAAAGCTTCACTCCCATGAGACGCAAACACGGAGGCCGTATCACTCGTCTTTGAAACCAAATTTTATTCGAATTTGAAGGATTTTAGTTTTTCCATTCATATTTGGTATCCTCAGTTGTGACTCGACGTTTTATAACTCGAGGGAGTGCTTGTGTATTCTACCCACCGCGAATTTATTTGTACAGGAGCTTATACACTTAGATTTTTTTATTTCTTCTCCTTATGTTCGGTTCGCATACGGCAGTAGATATCACTTCTACCACACCAAGCCTCCTTTTCTGCCAGTCGGTGACTTTTTCCCATAGGAAACAACTATATCGGTGGCTATGCCAATATATGTTCTTTTGTATACTACCA